TACAAATGAGGATCGGACATATGACCGCTTGCATGTCAACAATGCTAGCCAAGAAGTGAACCTAACTTTCAACCAAGCTATAACTTTTTATTTATATGGTAGTTAGAAAATCATGTACATGTGATTTTATCTATAAATACTTTCACATTGTACACTTCTTATGGGTTCTAAAAATAAAAAAATATAGTAAAGTTCAATGGTCAAAGCTGTAATTTTCTAGAAATATTTATATTACGTTTACTGTCTCCGTTTTGAGAATAACGTGAGCAGCCTGAGGAACTCAAAAGCAAAGATCCACAGTAACAAGCAACAAAACTTGCAGATGACGCACAAAGTACACAAATAAATAAAGTAGTACAATGATACGAGATAAATCATGTCATGACATAATATGCACAATATCATGATCCAAGGTCAACAGTTTACAGTAAGTCAGCAACCAACAGGCAAAAGGTTACACATGAACAAGCAGCTAAACACTCGCCCTCTTTCTCATTCATTTCTTAGATCCGTTGACATAATCAAGATGGCATTGCATGTTGAGTGAAGATCGAAGCTGCTGACGAGGTGGTGTCAAATGATCATAACGTCAGGGGACATCAACATATCCATGAAGTTTCACGAGCGCTTGGCCCGTTTTGAACGCCGCATGGGTTGTGAAGGATTCGGATTCTGAATCAGAACGGTGATACAGGTTATGCAAATGGCTGTATATGTTCTGCAATGAGCCAGTCAGTCAGTATTGTAGCTAGAGAGGAGCATTACCTTTGCGAAACCTGGAGGAAACGATGGTCCACTTGTTGGCTCGTCTTGAGAGTTTTTACTAACAGGCGTTTTTTTGTGCATTTGTTGACCTTGCAAGTCACCAGTTGGCGCTGTCTTGTGTATAGCGCTAACTGCGCTCTTCATATTCGCCAAATCTTCCTGCATCTTTCTCTGGCTTTCTTCCATTGCCATCATTTTTTCCTTCAACGCCGACGCCTCGTCTTCAGCTCTGCGTTTAGCCTCCATGGCTTCCTTGAAGGATGCTTGCAGGACTGCCTTCCCTCGTGGGACCTTCGAGGAGGAGTCATGTGCAGCAGAATCACCTCCTGAACTCTCTACCTGCTTACGAAGTCGTGCCTGCACATGCAACGGAACTTCAGCTCTTATGTGCACGGTCCACAAAACAAATTCATTTAGTAAGTTTATTTTCTTGTGTCTCACAATGGCATCAGCTGTTGCCTTCTTCATAGGTTTCCCATTCTTGGGTGTATGAGTCATTATGAAGAAATCCTCAACACTAGGCCCGTCCTTGTTAGGCCGTTTTTGCTTCTGCACACAAATTAACACAATAAATCCATCATCGACCGTGAAAGCAACAAAAGCAACTTTGAATTACCTCCTCCTCGATTATCCTTGCAAAGCTCTTTGTTCCTGCAGTATGATGAGCGACCACATTTGACTGGCAAGCTTTACTGCGAGCACTTGCGGCCTGAGATCAGAGAGAAATATAACAATAATTCAACAAGCCCAAAACTTGCAAATCAAGCTCAGCCACACACAAAAGTATAATTCCCAGTAATACCTTCGCCTTTTCAGTACTCCAATATGCAACTAGAAATTGCCACTGTTCTTTGAGAACACGAGGATTTCGATCAGCAAGGCGTTCCTCTTCCATCTCATGAGCATCGTAGTGTTGTAGTTTCAAGAAAGATTTCCAACTCCTCCACCTCTTTCCTAAGGACTTCATGATCCATAACTCACCAACCGGAGCAATGTCAAATTTGAGCTACACCAATAAACAAAGGCTATTAAAGAAGAAGTACAGCCACACACAAAAAAACAGCAATATTTATTTATACCTTGACAATATGCCAAATTATATTCTTGTTTTTCTCCGGAACATGCCTCCAATCATGATATGTTAGCGGTGCCAATACGCCATCTCGTGCTATTGCACACAAAAAGTTACTTAGGGTGCCTGCCGCTTTTCCAACAGGTTCACCTGAAGTGTTCAATGAAACCGGTATGCGCACACCCTTAGGCAAGGTCCACACCTCAAGACTGAGTTTCAGACCACAACGGAGACGTCTGTGGTTTCTCTTGGTACCTGCTTGAAAAAACAAATCAGATATACGAACAACCAAAATAACTGTAGCAGTATCTGAATTGTATGCATGATTAGACACTATCTAGCTTGAAAATGGTAAATTGCCTAGAGTCCTATAACTTATCATATAATTAATGATAAAGAAGGCCTGGCCCAAATGGTTCAGTCAACGAAAAAGAGGGAACTAGTCTGGTTAAGACAGTCAGATACTTCTCACATGATACCTAATTTGAGATGGCATAAACCTAGTAAAACTACTCAATTTTGAGCTCATTCGTCTATGCATGACCAGTCCAAGAAAACAAAATGTATCCTGTTGCGATATAAGATTTTGGGAGCCTGGCTGGAGTTGAATACAGCAGCACATGCCCCTACCTCCTTCCCTGTAAAGCATCCAAAGGCATCACTTCCAAAATTCTAATATTTTGACTTTTGAGATCCAAAGGCGTGATTCTTAATTCCTTATGTCTGAGATATGTTAAATCTCATTCTTCTGTTTTTTCTGTTCATTTTCCATCCTTTTCTCTCTCCAAAGGCATCACTTTTCTTTTGAGATGCGTTACATCCAAAGAGACCCTAAATATATTGTTTAAATTCTGCGATTTGAATTTGGACACACAAGTCCAGAAGTTAGCCACTAGCCAGTGAGCCAAGAACCCAAAGTTTCATTATGACCTGAAATTGAACTCTGATCCTCCAACACAACTAATTACACCGAACAGCATAGTTACTCTATTACAAGCACCGCCATTGCTCAGCTGCCCTTGTTATGCAGCTTAATTTTAGGGTCCGCTATTATTTATCTGGAGAACGTGAAAGTACATGTTCATGGTCCAAAATATCAAAGAGTACAAATAAGGAAATAAATAGCATTTGGAAATTAAACTGGGTTCAGATAAAACCACATCCTTATCTTTCCTATTTACACTACCTCTCAACAACAGATCAAACACGTCCTGACATGTAGAAAGAACAATGTTTAACGTCCCAGGTTCCTCTCATAGCAAACCCTTCGATGTGATGGATCCACCCAAACTTGGATAAAATTGCCATTCTGGCATGACTAAGCATTAACAAAATGTAAGAGAAGGTAACATTGAGTTCACCCGCTATATAAGCTTACTGATTTCATAACTCTATTTATCATTGCTGTAATAATATTCCTTATATTTATGTTCCCTAAAAAGGACCCCTCTTTAGAGGAGGTTAATTCTGCACAATGGCACACACAGGATAATATGAGTGAAGGGCGAGGCGCAAATTACCAACATTCTGGAGAGTCGGGCTACAAGGGTCGTCTCCTTCTGAATCAGTTAAATCATGCAGGCTTGCCTCGCCATAGCTTGCCTGGGACATGTTATGCTCAAACAATGAATTAGATCTCAGCTCTGGAAGGGCCTTCCTAACCTCAAGGGGGATGTAATTACGTGCAAACTGCTCGGGATTGGACAAGTTGAGATCTGAATTAGAAGTTGGTGTAGTTAAATGAGGGCTGTCTAACTTGTTAGAGCTTGGTTCATGCATCTCACATGGAGGGGATGGACTAGGCTTTATATTGCTGATGATTCTATCAATATCTGGAGAGTCCGATAAACTCTGTTCTGGAGAACCAGCATGCTGCCAATCAGGATCACTTTCTGTTGGTTCACTCTGTTCTGGAGAGCCAGCATGCTGTGAATCAGAATCACTTTCTGTTGGTTCACTGACTCTGACGGTGGCTGGTATGTGGCTAATCGAAGTTCCTTCTTGACTCTCAAGAAACTCATTTTGAACAGGTTCTTGGTCTATGGAGGCAGGTGAATCTTTCACCAAACGTTTGCTGCGCCTAAGTTGAAGATCTGGATTGGAAGCAGCTGTCAAACCCTTCTTTTTTTGCTTGGGGGTTCTGCAAATGAAAGATTTTGATTGTTCCTTTTCTACATGGATCACTTGATTTTCCGGTTCCATATGAACTGCTGAATCAGATTGTTGTCTTTGCACCTGTTTTATAGCGTCATTTGCTTCATGCACCTTCCTCCTCTCTGCAAATGCAGCATCACTGCAAGCTGCGTACCCGACTCTCGTTCCATTGCTGTCCCTTGTAATTATCTCGTCGGCCGCTTGAGTGCATAATTCTTCTGTATGATTTACCTGGCTGACACGCTGTTGTTGCTTTTCCTGGACATGAATCACCCCATCTGCATCCTCTGCATGTGCCTTCTCTGTACATATTGCATGACAAGAAGGCTGTTTTTGTGCCTGTTGTATGGTCTGATCGGGAGTGAGCAGCTGCCTCTTTTCTATATTTACAGTTTGGGGGGCAGTAGATTGCCCAGTTCTGCAATTTATACGCGTTTTGGAAGATTGAACTTGCGCCTGATGGCGGTCATGATTTTCAGGCTCTTCATGTCTCCTTTCGGGACTAACAATTCCAGGGCCAACTGAATGCATGTTTGTCCGCTTAGTAAAAATTCCATTGACATCATGTACCTCCCCACTGACATCATGTACCTCCCCTCTCTCAATCGTAGAACCAGGATTGTCCAGATCTGCCTGCTCTGGAATAAGCTGATTTGGATTATTTGTTTGTACCTGTCCCATACAATTTGTCCGATTATCAGGATCTGTCCACAAAAGTCCTGCACGAATCCCAAAATTAGGATGTTCTTGCCGCACCTGCATTGCAATAGAAGCACACAAAAATACACTATTAGTTTAGATACAAAAGTGTAGCATACTTCTAATAACAATGATAATATGCTTCAATGTAGTGTAATGAGCTCATACTAAGAAAACTTGGCTCACATTAAGCTGGTAATCATTAAAAAAACAATTTGGTTTAGTTCAGACTGCATCCATTCTCGACTCACACACAAGCTGGGTGCCAAGCATGTAGGAACACCTTGCACTCTGCAGCAACACTTTCTCCACTCATAGTGCATCATTTTACTGATCTAGCAATCTACACATTTATTAGTCAGGCTGAAAGCTTCTAACTCCTAGTCTCCTACAACTCCTCAAATCCACCAAGATTGACCGAAGTAAATAACTCTTTACTTCAATCTAATACCCATTTGCATGTTTTTTTCTTACCCCCATCTCATTCATACACAGTAGCATAACCATAAGGAAGGCCTTGAAAATGCAAATGCTCTAGTTCCAGACATGGGCTTTCCTTTGATGCATACAACTTACAAATACTAGCCGGTAAGCTCAACACTTCAATTGATATGAAGTAAAACAGCTTTGTTAGACAGACCCTAGTTACATATTGTAGTGTGGAAAACTGGAAACAGATTTACTGTTCTCAATAAACTAATTAAACAAATCGTTTAATAGTTTGGTGAACACATATCAACGTTCGGTAAAAATGTAAAATTGTTTAACACTAAGAACAAATTCCCACCTTTCTCAACCAAAGGCATACTAGCAACTGAACTACGCCTGAAACTGCAATAGCACCTTGACGACAGCATACCTGCTGGGCTTGGAGGATGGGTGGGGCGGAGGGGTCGCCGAGTGGCACCACGGGCACGGCGCCCTCCGCCGTAGCTGACGAGAGGAGGTAATGCCGGAGCCGCGCGGTGTCGACGGCGAGCTCGGCGCCGCAGACCGGGCAGGCGCAGCGCGCCAGCCCGACGGGCACGCTCAGGAGCGCGCCGCAGGAGCCGCACGGCAGCCGCGCGCCCCGGACGTCGGCGGCCGCGCGGGGCAGGGGCAGCGCCTTCCGCCGCGGCGGCGGCGGCGGCATGAGCTCCGGCGGGAGCGACTGCGGCGTGGCGCAGTCCGGGCAGATGAACTCCGTCAGGCCCGGGTCCACCTCCAGCGTCTCGCCGCACCCCGCGCACTGCACCTCCAAACCCTCCGGGGAGTCCTGCCGCGGCGGCGCCATGGCCGCTCGACGGCGACGGCGAGGGCTCGTTTCGCTTACGGACGGCGGCGCTCTGGGGGGAAACTGTTGCAGTGTGCGCTTTCTCTCTAGCGACACTCCGCCTAGGTTTTGCTCCCCACCCGAGCAAAATAGACTCCTTTTTTTTCTCTCTCTCTAGAGACACAGAGAGTGAAATAAAAACCGACGCTGTCTTTTTTTTCCGAAAAACTTTTAATCTATTCATTCTTCAATCATGGTAGTATAACGAACACCGGAAATAAAAATTACATCCAGATCCGTAGACCACCTAGCGACGACTACAAATACTGAAGCGAGCCGAAGGCGCGCCGCCGTCATCACCCCTCCATCGCCGGAGTCGGGCACAACTTGTTGTAGTAGACAGTCGGAAAGTCGTCGTGCTAAGACCCCATAGGACCAGCGCACCAGAACAGCAACCACCGCCGATGAAGAATAACGTAGGTTGGAAGGATTCAACCCGAAGACACATGAACATAGACGAACAACGACGAGATCCGAGCAAATCCACCAAAGATAGATCCGCCGGAGACACACCTCCACACGCCCACCAACGATGCTAGATGCACCGCCGGAACGGAGGCTAGGCGGGGAGACCTTTATTCCATCTTCAGGGAGCCGCCGCCGTCTCGCCTTCCTGAGCATGACACAAACCCTAACAAGACAGGAAAAAACGACTGAAAACGGAGCCCTCCCGCCGGCCCCTGGCAACCGATGCTGTCTTCAGTGCTGAAGAATTTCCTAACCAACATTCGGAGACACGTTCGGATTTGTCTTTTGAGTAAAATACATTGATGGTCACTGAACTTGTCATGTACGTTCACTTTGGTCACTGTACTTAAGAATACGGTTAACACAGTCATTATATACGTGTTATGGTGATTATACGGTCACTGTCACACCATATAGCTTCGTATTTTTTTAGTTGACCGGTCAAATGACACCTTGTCAGCTTAGTTTCCCTCTCAGCCCCACCTGCCAGTTGTCGAAGGAAAATAAAATAAAAGCAACGCCACGTTATGAGACCGCACGCTGGCAGAGGCCGTGAGCAATCCAGTAGAGCGTGAGACGGTTTTTATTGCATTCCAAGCGATTGTTGGGGAACGTTGCAGAAAATAAAAAAATTCTACGCTTTCACCAAGATCAATCTATGTGTTCATCTAGCAACGAGAGAGAGGAGAGCATCTACATATCCTTGTAGATCGCGAGCGGAACCGTTCAAGAGAACGGGGTTGAGGAAGTCGTACTCGTCGTGATCCAAATCACCGGAGATCCTAGCGCCGAACGGACGGCACCTCCGCGTTCAACACGCGTACGGTTGAGGAAGATGTCTCCTCCTTCTTGATCCAGCAAGGGGGAAGGAGAGGTTGATGAAGATCCAGCAGCACGACGGCGTGGTGGTGGATGCAACAGCGATCTCGGCAGGGCTTCGCCAAGCTTCTGCGAGAGGGAGAGGTATAGCAAGGGGAGAGGGAGGCGCCAAGAGCATGGGTGCGGCTGCCCTCCCTCCCCCCTCTTTATATAGGCCCCTAGGGGGGCGCCGGCCCTAGGAGATGCAATCTCCAAGGGGGGCGGCGGCCAAGGGGGGTGGCTTGCCCCCCAAGCCAAGTGAAGGCGCCCCCCACCCCTAGGGGTTCCAACCCTAGGCGCAGGGGGGCCCAAGGGGGGGCGCACCAGCCACCAGGGGCTGGTTCCCCTCCTACTTCAGCCCATGGGGCCCTTCGGGATAGGTGGCCCCACCCGGTGGACCCCCGGGACCCTTCCGGTGGTCCCGGTACAATACCGATGACCCCCGAAACTTTCCCGATGGCCGAAACTTGACTTCCTATATATAATTCTTTACCTCCGGACCATTCCGGAACTCCTCGTGATGTCCGGGATCTCATCCGGGACTCCTAACAACTTTTGGGTTACTGCATACTCATATCTCTACAACCCTAGCGTCACCGAACCTTAAGTGTGTAGACCCTACGGGTTCGGGAGACATGCAGACATGACCGAGACGCCTCTCCGGTCAATAACCAACAACGGGATCTGGATACCCATGTTGGCTCCCACATGCTCCTCGATGATCTCATCAGATGAACCACGATGTCGAGGATTCAATCAATCCCGTATACAATTCCCTTTGTCAATTGGTACGTTACATGCCCGAGATTCGATCGTCGGTATCCCAATACCTCGTTTAATCTCGTTACCGGCAAGTCACTTTACTCGTACCGTAATGCATGATCCCATGACCAGACACTTGGTCACATTGAGCTCATTATGATGATGCATTACCGAGTGGGCCGAGAGATACCTCTCCGTCATACAGAGTGACAAATCCCAGTCTAGATTCGTGCCAACCCAACAGACACTTTCGGAGATACCCGTAGTGCACCTTTATAGTCACCCAGTTACGTTGTGACGTTTGGCACACCCAAAGCACTCCTACGGTATCCGGGAGTTGCACAATCTCATGGTCTAAGGAAATGATACTTGACATTTGGAAAAGCTCTAGCTAAACGAACTACACGATCTTTGAGCTATGCTTAGGATTGGGTCTTGTCCATCACATCATTCTCCCAATGATGTGATCCCGTTATCAATGACATCCAATGCCCATAGTCAGGAAACCATGACTATCTGTTGATCAATGAGCTAGTCAACTAGAGGCTCACTAGGGACACGTTGTGGTCTATGTATTCACACGTGTATTACAATTTCCGGATAACACAATTATAGCATGAATAATAGACTATTATCATGAACAAAGAAATATAATAATAACCATTTTATTATTGCCTCTAGGGCATATTTCCAACAGTCTCTCACTTGCACTAGAGTCAATGATCTAGTTACATTGTGATGAATCGAACACCCATAGTGTTCTGTGTTGATCATGTTTTGCCCTAGGGAGAGGTTTAGTCAACGGATCAGCTACCATTCAGATTCGTGTGTACTTTACAAATATCTATGTCTCCATCTTGAACATTTTCACGAATGGAGTTGAAGCGACACTTGATGTGCCTGGTCTTCTTGTGAAACCTAGACTCCTTGGCAAGTGCAATAGCTCCAGTGTTGTCACAAAACAGTGCGATCGGCCCCGACGCATTGGGTATGACTCCTAGGTCGGTGATGAACTCCTTCACCCAGATTGCTTCATGCGCTGCCTCCGAGACTGCCATGTACTCTGCTTCACATGTAGATCTCGCCACGACGCTTTGCTTGCAACTGCACAAGCTTACTGCCCCACCATTCAGAATATACACGTATCCGGTTTGTGACTTAGAGTCATCCAGATCTGTGTCGAAGCTAGAGTCGACGTAACCCTTTACGACGAGCTCTTCGTCACCTCCATAAACGAGAAACATATCCTTAGTCCTTTTCAGGTACTTTAGGATGTTCTTGACCGTTGTCCAGTGTTCCATGCTGGGATTACTTTGGTAGCTTCCTACCAAACTTACGGCAAGGTTTACATCAGGTCTGGTACACAACATGGCATACATAATAGACCCTATAGCTGATGCATAGGGGATGACACTCATCTTTTCTCTATCTTCTGCCGTGGTCGGGCATTGAGCTGAGCTCAATTTCACACCTTGCAACACAGGCAAGAACCCCTTCTTGGACTGATCCATATTAAACTTCTTCAATATCTTATCAAGGTATCTGCTTTGTGAAAGACCTATGAGGCGTCTTGATCTATCCCTATAGATCTTGATGCCTAGTATGTAGGCTGCTTCTCCAAGGTCCTTCATTGAAAAACACTTATTCAAGTGGGCCTTAATGCTGTCCAGAAGTTCTATATCATTTCCCATCAAAAGTATGTCATCTACATATAATGTGAGAAATGCTACAAAGCTCCCACTCACTTTCTTGTAAACGTAGGCTTCTCCTTAAGTCTGCATAAACCCAAACGCTTGATCATCTCATCAAAGCGAATGTTCCAACTCCGAGATGCTTGCACCAGCCCATAAATGGATCGCTGGAGTTTGCACACCTTGTTAGCATTCTCAGGGTCGACAAAACCTTCCGGCTACATCATATACAGTTCTTCCTTAAGATGGCCGTTAAGGAATGTCGTTTTGACATCCATTTGCCATATCTCATAATCATAGTATGCGGCAATTGCTAACATGATTCGGACGGACTTTAGCTTCGCTACGGGAGAGAAAGTCTCATCGTAGTTAACCCCTTGAAGTTGTCAATAACCCTTAGCGACAAGTCAAGCTTTATAGATGGTAACATTACCATCCGCGTCCATCTTCTTCTTAAAGATCCATTTGTTTTCTATCGCTCGCCTATCATCAGGCAAGTCTGTCAAAGTCCATACTTCGTTTTCATACATGGATCCTATCTCGGATTGCATGGCTTCAAGCCATTTGTTGGAATATGGGCCCGCCATCGCTTCTTCATAGTCCGAAGGTTCACCGTTGTCTAACAACATGATTTCCAGGACAGGGTTGCCATACCACTCTGATGTGGAACGTGTCCTCGTGGACCTACGAAGTTCAGTAGTAACTTGATCCAAAGTACCTTGATCATCATCATTAACTTCCTCTTCAGTTGGTGCTGGCACCACAGGAACATCTTCCTGAGCTGCGCTACTCACCGGTTCAAGAGGTAGTACTTCATCAAGTTCCACTTTCCTCCCACTTACTTCTCTCGAGAGAAACTCTTTCTCCAGAAAGGACCCGTTCTTGGCAATAAAGATCTTACCTTCGGATCTGAGGCAGAAGGTATACCCAATGGTTTCCTTAGGGTATCCTATGAAGATGCATTTTTCCGACTTGGGTTCGAGCTTTTCAGGTTGAAGTTTCTTGACATAAGCATCGCATCCCCAAACTTTTAGAAACGATAGCTTAGGTTTCTTCCCAAACCATAATTCATACGGTGTCGTCTCAATAGATTTAGACGGTGCCCTATTTAAAGTGAATGCAGTTGTCTCTAGAGCATATCCCCAAAAAGATAGCGGTAAATCGGTAAGAGACATCATAGAT